CCTTTACTACCACAATCCAACAAGCCGCCTGGACTGCTTCCTTCCAAAAAGACTCCTCCAGAATTCCTAAAAAGACCATTCTACCCCAACACCTCCTTGACCTAATCCAAACCAAACGCCGTGCCAGATTATTGTGGCAACGTACCCGACATCCTACCGACCGCTGCTCCTATAATTATTACTGCAAAAAATTAAAACTGGAATTAGCCACCTTCAGATCACATTCCTTCAACTCCTACCTATCCTCCCTCTCTTCTTGCGACAATTCCCTTTGGAAAACCACAACCAAAATCTTAAATCCTCACCACATTTCCCATCCCCTCCGACGAGATGATGGCTCCTGGGCAGCATCTGACGAAGATAAGGCTGAGGAGTTCGCCATTCACCTATCCAATAGATTTATTTCACATCCGGAATCCCATCCTGCCCACACCGTAACAGTAGAAGAACTCCTTACATCACCAATCCCACTTTCCTTGCCCCCAAAAGCTATTCATCCTTCCGAAGTGAAATTTCAATTAAAAAAACTAATCCCCCGTAAAGCTCCTGGACATGATCTCCTTACCCCTCAAATCCTTCGACAACTTCCATCCAAAGCAGTCATACTCCTTACATATATCTACAATTGTATCCTACGCACCACCCACCTTCCTCTGCTATGGAAACACTCCACTATTATCCTTTTCCCAAAACCAGGCAAACCTCCCAATATCTCAACATCCTATAGACCAATTAGCCTACTCCCAATCCTTTCAAAAATTTTTGAAAAGATCCTTTTGAAACGAATCCTACCCATTATAGAATCCCAAAATATTCCTTCCCATCAGTTTGGTTTTCGCTCCCAACATTCTACTGTTCAACAAGGACTCCGAGTTGTTGATCATATTTCCTCAGCCCTAGAAAACAAGGAATGCTGTTCGGGTGCATTTCTGGACATTGCACAGGCATTTGACCGGGTATGGCACTCCGGACTGCTCTTCAAGCTTAAAATCCATTTACCTCAGTAGTTGTACCTAGTCCTCCGATCCTACCTCTCTGACCGATCCTTCCGAGTTCGCTGTGGAACAGAATTTTCCAATATCTACTCCGTTAAAGCCGGTGTTCCCCAAGGCAGCGTCTTGGGTCCCGTGCTTTACATCCTCTTTACTGCTGACATCCCAGTTCATCCCGATACTTTTCTTGCAACATTCGCTGACGACACCGCAATCTTATCATCCAACTCTGATCCCAACATAGCATCCTTAAATCTCCAAAACCACCTCACCTTGATTGAGCACTGGTGTAATAACTGGCGCATTAAAGTTAATGAATCTAAATGCCAACATATTACCTTTACACTCCGACGCAGTTCCTGTCCACCAGTACACTTTAATTCCATCCAGCTTCCTTACTCAGACACAGTCCGGTATCTTGGCTTTCATTTAGACCGAAGACTAACGTGGAACCCACATACTAGACTCAAAAGACAAGAACTCAACCGACGATACGGCCAGCTATACAGACTACTAAACAGAAAATCCAAACTTTCTATTGAAAACAAATTACTTATCTACAAGACAATACTGAAACCTATATGGACATACGGACTTGAACTGTGGGCGACAGCAAAAGCTTTTAACATCAAACGTATTCAATCTTTTCAATCTAAAGTCCTTCGAACAATAGTTGATGCTCCCTTCTATGTAAATAACAAAATCCTACACCATGACCTTAATATCCCATTTGTCCTAGACCTTATTCCAGAAAAATTCTCCAAATTTCACCAGAACCTTACCTATCATCCAAATTCCCTTGCACATTCTCTATCCAGCACTACCCATCCTTACAATCCTCCTCGAAGGTTGAAGCGGCAGTGGCCCAGAGACCTTTTGTGAATAAGCATCTATTGGAGTTTTGGCAATGGCCAGATCCTCCACTCAAGCCCGAGTGTGTATGATTAGGTTAGTTCTTTTGTTTATATACATTTATTTTATTTTATTGTATTTATTATTATTAAGTTTCTGTATTATTTTTTTTTTTATTGTAAATAGAGTGTGAGTGTGCTTTCTCTGAACACTATTATAAATGTCCTTGATGTGACAGAATGTAATATTTCTAAATAAACAAATATAGAAAAAAAAAATTTTTTATCTAATTTTGCAGATAAATTATTTTTCACGCATACTTATTATTGAGATTTTGTTTTAAATCTTTTATGTCATTATCATATTTTTGGTTATTAACGTACACCTTTCAAACCTTTCTTCCTATTGTTTGGTCCTACTACTGTTTTCATTTCTTATTTCTGTTGTAAATGTTTTGAAATTTTGTTCTAATTTTTCAAATGGTTTTATATTTTCCGATTTCAAATTTTCGAAACTATGTATTAATTCATTTTTCATTTCATTGATGACGACTAGTATTTGGTTCAAGATCGATTGTATTGCCATACTCCCAGGTTAGCTCCTTCATTAATTTGAATTGGTTTGTCGGCTACTTGGACTTGAGCAATACTTTCATAACCTTTAACTACTAAATCTTCCCTATCCAAACTAACTTTTGACCTCTCTGGAAAAGTTAAAGCAAAATTTATTTTGCCTCACTATTAAATGCCATTTTGTTTATTTAAAACAATAGTAAAGTAAAAAATAAAAATTAAAGAGGATTGTGTGTTTAGTTGTCGTGGCTACATACGCCTAATTTTAAAGCCATGCTAGTTGGGCGCCATGTTATAAAGTTACGTTTACCTTGAAAAGTAAATCAAACAGTTTTGGAATCTAATTATATTTATTTTAAACAATAATTATTTCTCAGGTTGGGTTGAGGCAACAAACACACATTCCTCAATTATAAATATAAAATCATACATTAATAGTACATAACATTTTTATGAATTTCCATACATTTATCGGGGTCTACTCTTGGCGCGCTTTCGAACTGTCAATATTTATATTTCACTCACCTCCAATCTTCTTCGATATTGTTGTCTTCAACATCTACAATCTTCTTTCAATCTTTTATTCTTCCTTTGTTGGCACTCACTACTTGTCAGTCTCATTTTCTTCTCTCGATCCTCTTTACTAGCCGGCTGGCTACCTTCTCTCTAACATATGGTACTTGCTTCCCCTTCCATCTCTCTTTGTCCATTTTTGATAATAGTTCGTGATGTCACTGCCTTCGCTCCAAACACTTATTTCAAAACACTCCAAAGATCTCACCAAATTATTTGAGCCATCAAACTTAAAAATAGATCCAGCCGTTAGCTAAAAATACTGTTACACAACTTATAAAGGAAGACCCAAACACAACCCTCGTTTTGCTTCGTTTAATCGGGTAAAAAAAAGTCTATTAGGTCTGGAGTTTTCCGTCACGAAGCAGGCCATTATTTCCAAGGAAGAGCGGGATCAGGCAGAATTCGCTGGTGCTGGTCACGATAATAATTTTTTTTTATATTGAATTCATCGTCTATGAGGATGGATTTTCCCTATATTTCTCTTTTCTTTAAATAGTTGCTTGTTTAAGCTAAAAATGTTCTAGCTTCGAGGGAAGGGGAGGGGGCGCCCCCCGGCTGGATTCGCTAGTGAGGTAATGTTGATGATTGATTTTTACAGCTATGTTTTTGCTGAACCGATAGATATATGAAACGTGTTCGTGCGACCAATTCCTAATGATAATTTAAGGGCTTAACTAAAATTAAAAAAAAATAAGTTTCCCAAGTATATTCATTGCGCTTTCAAAATGGTCATTATTTTCTATTTTACTCATCATGGGCAAGGTCCTGGAAAAACTCATCCTAAAACGCCTGTACCCAATCACAAGTTCCCAGACCATCAGTTTGGATTCCGCAGATCCCATTCCACGATCCAGCAATGCCATCGTGTGGTGGATGTTGTCTCCTCTGCACTGGAGCGCGGAATGTACTGCACGGGAATCTTTCTCGATGTAGAACAGATTTTTGATCGAGTGGAACCCAGGACGGCTTTACAAACTCCATAAATTCCTACATCCTACATACTTCCTCATTATTTGTTCCTACCTAACTGATAAATACTTTAGTAAATCACAATAATGCTTATCCATACCTCTTTTCCCAGTCCGCTGGTGTCCCTCAAGGTAGTATCCTAGGTCTTTTCCTATACACAGTTTATACAGCTGACATCCCAACCCATCCTAACACTGTCATTGTTCAATCACACACCACAAACCTTTACGAATGGTTTCGAAACTGGAGGATTAAAATAAATTTTAATAAATCCCATCAAATCACCTTTACACTTCGCCGTAAACCTATGACCTCCTGTCCTACAGTATCCTTTAATAATATCCCACTAATCCCTGTTGAACAAATCCGATATCTTGGACTCCACTTGGACAAGCATCTAACTTGGAATCCTCATACCAGTCTGAAATGATAAGAAACCGCTCGACGTTTCCAATTATTCCAGCACTTACTAGACAAACCCTTTAAGCTTCCATTTAATTACAAAAGACTCATATACATGACTACAATAAGACCTATTTGGACTTACGGAGTTGAGCTTCGGGGCTCCACTTAGTTATCGAATTTCTCTCGTATCCAATTCTTACAATCCAAAATTCTTCGGAAAATTCTCAATGCTCCTTACTTTGTCACCAATAAAATAATCCATTACGGCCTTAATGCTCATTATGTTTCCGATTTGGCCAAAACCAGATACCTATCCTTACATAATAAACTTCAGAACCATCCGAATCCTCTCGTCTCTAACTTTGCTTCCTCTTCTATCCCTGATAACCCTCCGAGACGTCTGAAAAGAAGATGGACTCGAGACCTCGAGTGGGTAGTTTCTTAACAAGTGATTTCATGTTATTAGTTTCTGTTATCAAATTTACTAAATGTATTTTACTTCTTAATACAGTTGTGAATATTATAAATAAATAAAATAAAAACATTTTTAGTAAGCTATTTACTATTTATTTTACCAATCTCCAAATTGAAAACGCCCCATTTTCATGAATTTTCATTAAAAACAAAGTTGTGTGTTACAATAAAATGAAATTATTCACAAGGTTTTAGGCAATTATTAATAATTTGATAAAATTGGGTCTTTACCGCGGAGTTGTATATATTTCAAAGTTCCCAAACTGATAATATGCGACCCGCTGGTTGCATATCTCCACTCTACAGCCCGCCCTCATTAAGTGTTTCCGTAATCTCCATCATCTTTTCCTCAATCCAGTTCAAGAGATCCCGCTGGGTGAGTAAACAGCTACTGGGAAAGAGAACAGTGACGTCAGCGTCCCTGGGTGCCCCTTCTATAAGAGGAACCTGCTCTGATCTAGAGGTCAGTCAGCAATATGTCAGCCGGTTGGAAGGTGTTGTTGTTCTTTGTTGGGCTTTGTTGTTGTGTTGCTGGCCAACAACAGGAATGCGAGTGCGTTGAGTACTTCCTTTGCAGCGAATCCCATGGGACCATTATCACCGATGGTACTAATCTCTTGGATGTCAGGTAAGCGTTGATGCAATACTCTACGTTAGCCTACTGCGATATAATTAACAATTAATTTTTTAATATTGATAAAACTGATATATAACTATATAAACCAATGATCTATAGAATTTTCATTTAACTGAACATTATTTACAATAAAAAAAAAAGTGTCAATACTAATAATCCATAATATTAGGATTTAAATACTTAAACAATAAGAAAGTTTTATAAACAATATCTGCTGTACTATACAATGCAGAAGATAAAAATAGGAACAATTTATATAATATAATATTTATTTATTTTCTTTCCTATGGGAAGAATGAGAATGGGAAAATGGGGCCCAATTTTGTTTCTATATTATTATGTTTACTAATGTATATCAAGTTAGACAAAAAAATTGTATGTGCTTTAAAGTTTAAAATGACTGGTTTATAGTAAAACATATAATATATCAATAGTATTATTTTGAATGCTGAAGAGCGGTTCCTAGAGGTTCCTCAAAACGTTCACTAATAAGTAATAATCAAAACTAAATGTAATTATTTACTATACTGACCTATAGGCAAAAAAAAAAGATATTTTGTTCAGATTATTTATAAATTATGTTAATAGACTATTGAATATTATACAAAGAAATTTTAAAATATTATTATCTACCCTCATATCTACCCATTAATCCCATCTGTACTAAATGAAATTAAAATACCGCATCATTAGTAACAGTGTGCAAATTTGTTTAAATAAAGTTCAAATAAAGGAGGAGTAAAAAAAAAAAAAATACAATGTGAAAGTCTTTAAAAGAAAATGAATTAGGATGGACGAAAAAAAATTGTTTTCTATGTCTTTTAACGTTATTAAATTTTCACATAGAAGATAGTAACAATTTAATTTTAATTCGTTTCTTTTAGCAATATTTTTATTATTTATAAGATATAAAATGTAGCCCTGTCGTTATGGATAACAATAAAAAATTAAAGAATGAATAAATTTAAAAAATGACATAATTGTAATGGTTTATAATAATATTAAATGTAATTACTTTTACAAAATAAACAATGAGATGAAACAATAAAATTAAGAAAAATAATTTTTTTTTTTTAAATATTTGATAAACTAGCTGGACCGTGAGAATAATAAAATTTTATTTATTAAAGGAATAGCAATACGAAAGCATACGAAAATAAATAGATCCAATATATTATGTGAGGGAGGAATTAATTGTTCTTGGTCCATTACAATATTTCATTTAACATAATAAACCAAAGTATCTGTACAAATTGATTTGCTAAAGTTTATTTTTAAACGCAGATTGGAAAGACAAAATTTAAAATAAAGTCTCGATCATGTGATTATCTAAATTATTAAAAAATATAAAATTTACCACAAAAAAATGCCTTTAAGAAATAATAAAGTATATGTCAGCCAGGAAAAAAAGAGTAGTAGGGTAGTGAATGCAGTATCTTTAAAGAGGAAGGAATTATTAAGTTACTTTTTTTTTAACAGATAATTTTATAATCTTTTTAATTAATATGGGTACAATCCAGAAAAAATGCATATTGTTTGAGTTATTTGCAAATGAAGTTTCTTTTCCTTCATGACTTTTTTTTTCAGAAATTTCGGGGAGATGTGACTATGTTTCGCATTTGAAGGAGAAGAATATCGTCTGAATGAGTGGTCAATCATTGGATTTGATGATTAATTGACGAAGTTATAGCGTACCTGCAAAAAATGCACATTTTACAAATAATATATAAGATAGAATAGCTGTGCTGAAATAGTTGTCATGGCAACGACTTCAATTTTCATTATGATGTTTTTCCCTGCCGTTTACTAAAACATCCATAACTCCTCAGGATTTTATCCTTATTCAATGTTTATACAACTGATGAAAAACTGAATTATCTAGCTCTTCAAACCGAATAAATCACTTTGATTCAACAGGTCCATAAAGAATAAATAAAAACTGCTAAAAATGTTTTTTATTTTATAACTTCAGTTATGAATTATTTAGAGAGGTAAAGTTTTTATTATTTTGTGAAGTTTATAAGGCCCTATATTCCTGCTAAATTTCGTGTGGATAGGTGGAAGAATATTGAAGTTATCACTCTTTTTGTGATTTTCAAAAAGAAATCCAAGGAGCTTTGATCCTAATTTTATAAAAAAAAAAAAAAAAATTATATTTCGATTGCTATGAAAATGTGTTCCTATGTTCCTTCTTAAATAAAATATTTGAATACACCTTACTCTTTCGGTCGGTACATATTGTCTGAATTTTACAAATTTCTAATCCATTTTCATGTTTTTTATTTTTTGTTTTATATGTAATTTAGTAATCTTTCTAATTATCATGGGTACAATCGAGAAAAATATGCATACTTTTTGAGTTATTCACAAATAAAGTTTCTTTTCCTTCAAAACTTTTTTCCAGACATTTCGGGGAGGTATGGCTATTTGAAAGGGAAGAATATGTTCAAAACGAGTGGTCAATCATTGGATTTGATGAAGTATTGAAGAAGTTATCGAGTACAGACAAAAAAAGACCTAGAATAATATATAACATTAATTAAAATCTAAAGTTACGTTTACGAATAAAGTATTTTTCGCCTCTTGTATTAAGTAAATGTTTATATAGTGAATAAGAATATTTATCGCTAAGCTTCAGCACGCTTATTAATATTTACCATAAAAGGGATTTGGTAAATATCTGTTAAAGTGTATATCTGTTAAACAACATGTATTACTTTATCAAATATGTTATTCGAGGTTAAATCGCAAATGTATTACCAATATGGAGTGCGATTTGTTTAATAAAATAATTTAATAAATAAAAATATCATGTACCAAGACTTGATATCAACGGTCAATTTTTCTAAACACCAATTGGAACTTAGTTTAAGAAAAGAATAGCCCCTGAGAATCCACTGATAAAAAAATAAATTATTTATACTTACATTTTTTTCAATCTAATTTTACTATTTTAGCCCTCAATACAGGAAAGCAGCTCAGTGAGAAAGCCAACAGTGCTCCTATGTATTGTTGCCCAAAATTGGTCTTGGTCTTGCAAGACCAAGACCGCCTATCTGTTGCAAGACCAAGACCAAGACTGGTAAAAAAAATCGATTTAAAAAAATAAAAATTAAGGCAAAATAGTTACTAATACTTGACAATCTTAGTTACTATATGTAAATAATTGATATAAGTAATATACATTTGCATTTAACTCCTATAATTTTTCATTCGGGCTTAGTTAGGTTCCTCCTACTAAAAAAATACAGTAATAAGCTAATAAGTAACTGCAAGACTGTTGCGATACTCTTGCGCAAGACCAAGACCATGACCAAGAATGAGTTTGCAAGACCAAGACTCGTCTCAGTCTCGCATTTGGGCAACACTACTCCTATGTTCCAGATAGAGGATTCAAGTCCTCCAGTGGAGAGTAATAATTTATTCAGTTAAATTAACCTTGGAATTCTTATACGATTTAGAACTCTTAGAACCGACTATGATTTTATCTAATCATTTTTTGTCTTTTTTCTTATACTTATTTACATTTATATTTATATTTATATTTATATTTATATATATTAGAGTTATACTAACCACTAAAGCCACTTCCAGTTAAAGGTTGATAATCTATGGTAGGCACGATTTGGTGTTAACGAAAACTTTTAAGAGTTTCGATTTTTTTCACTCCTCGCAATTTTTACCAATCTACTTAAAAATATGATGTTATTGATCAAAAATAAATTCAGATGTTCAATTGATTTTGGAATTCTATTAGATTTCCTCCTGTTTGTATAATTAAAAGGATTAAATCACTTTTGATCTGTTATTTAAACATAATAGCCCGTGGTACAGACCCCTTTTTATCAAATTATTAAAACCTGCTTGAAACTTCGTTAATAGCTTCTTTTCATCCTAACCCACAAGTATTTTATTTATGAAAACTCTTGGAATTGGGGCTTTCCAATCTGGAGGTCGGCAAACGTTGTCTATTTAATTAGGTACTAAAAACTCGTAAATAAGCATTTGATTTCCAGTTGGATCGTAAGACACTTTGATCACAAAATCGAGAAAAAAAGTGGGTTAAATAGGCCAAAAAAGTTTCTTGTAAGATTGAGGGGTTACAATGTAAATCGCGAAATATCCTTGATTTTATGAAAACCAGAACTCACCTTAGTTTAACTGCTTAAAAGTCCCCTTTAAATGATTTTAAAAAAGACAAAATTAACTTGAATTTAATGTAAATTTAATCTAGTTTACTATGACGTAATTTGTTGTAACCTGAATCAAACATTTTTTTAGTTATCCTTTTTTTCAAAATAAAACGTGGTTGGCTCACAAAAGTTTTCTGGATCTCAGTATGTAATCAGACCATGGTTTATAGTCCGTGGTACAGGCCTCTTTTTATGGAGTTATTAACATCCGCCTGGAACTTCGTAAATAGTTTCATCTCATCGTAACCTACAGCTATTTTATTTACGAAAACTCATGGAATGGGGGCGTTTTTATTTGGAGGAGAGCAAACTTTGTCTATTTGATTAGGTACTAAAAACTCGTAAATACCCATTTAGTTTCTCCTTGGATCGTATGATAATTTGATCTCAAAATCGATAAAAAAAGGTGACCTACAAAAATATGGGGTCGTTTGTCCTATATAATCTCGTTATTTTAAAAATTTGGGGGGGTAGGTCACGCCAAACGGCTCAATATTTTTGTAGGTCAAATTTTCTCTCCATTTTGTGATCAAATTACCTTACGATCCAAGTAGAAAGCAAATGTGTATTTGCGAGTTTGTAGTTCCTAATTAAATAGACAATATTTGCCAATTCCAAGAGTTTTCGTAAATAAAATAGTTGTAGGTTACGATGAGATGAAGCTACTTACATAGTTTCAGGTGGATGTTACTAATGTGATGAAAAGTAGTCTGTAAAACGGATTATAAATGAGAGGAAAATACGACCTTAGTTTAAAGGGTCATTAAACAAATGCCAACAACAAACAAAGTTATATAG